ACTTTGTCAGAGAAAGTTTTCATTTGAAAAAAAAAAAGTAGAGATAAGTAAGGACACAGATACACCATACAGGATTGTTTGCTTCGAGAACACCTTGAGCATAAAACTATAAAAAAACCCGCAACAGTTCTTAGATGTTCTGTTAAATAATATCACATCTGTTTTCTTTTAATCATAGAATCATAGAATGGCCTAAGCTGGAAGGGACCTTAGAGATCATTTTAATCCAGCCTCCCTGCCGCCAGGGACGTCACCTGTCGACTAGATCAGGCAACACATGGCGACCAAATGATTATGTAGACCACAAATATTTCCTTTATTTAATGCTTAGAACACCAAGAATCAGATTATAATACTCAAGGGTAGTATGGGACTTGGTCCCTATACATTATTTTCTCCAAGTGGCTGCCTGTTGGTATGAAAATATTCGTTTCACCTTTGCTCAGTACTTCTAAATATATTTAAAGTATTTAAATTCCCATTCTCCTATTGAGATTTACTTCTTTCCTTCAAGAGGTACATTAATAATTAAGTCCATCCTTCCCCACCATCACAGTAATAGAAGTATCCGACCACTGCACGCATACTCAATAAATGACCCTAACCTGAATATCCTTCTCCAGGATCAGTTACACATGCTATTTACACTGCATATGTATGTAAAATACGTATTTCCTCCTCCACCAAAAGAAAAAAAAAATGCAGAAAGGCAAGTGCAAAGATTGAATACCTTTGTGTTGTGCTTTAGCACAGAGCAGGGGTTGGGTGCCTAAAGACCATCCTGTACCTGCCTGCTGGCAGGCACACAAAAGAACATCATGGATTATTTACTGATACACACCAGGGAAGTGCAAGAATATAGGGAGATTAAATTCATCTTTTTCCAACAAAAAAAGAAAGTTCTCCATTGTCCAAAATCCCCTCAAATAATTGCAGACTCTTTTCTGATGTCCTTCTACAGTGTCCCACAGCTCCAATACACAGAACAGCAGATGGACAAGGCAATCACACCTAAGGGGAGCACTTATTTAAACACTGAGATCCTCAAAACTAATATACGTGCTGGAAATTTGATTTTCTCCATAGTAATAGTATAGGTAGATTGATAGAACCAACTGCATGTTAATAACCAGATGGACTTTCAAAAATCCAACACACAAAAAACAGCCCAGTGGACATGTCGCGCAGACAAAATCCCTCACAGCAGTATTTTCACACAGTGAATGGGATATAAATTCTCAAATAGAGGTCTAAAGATGTCATATGTGAATAATCTATGAAGGACTGACTCAACCCTCCTGACAATAACAGATTCAAAGGCAGAATTATCCTCAAAGTCACATCGGAGATTTTAGAAAAGAGTTGAGGAGTAAAGATTGAGAACACTTGCATCCCTCTTCCCTCTTCTGAATCTATTATAGATGAATGTCAGTCTTCAGCAAATCAATCATACCACCATTCACAGGTTTTAGATTGATACAAGAACACCTAAAAGTTATTTTTAAAGGGCATTGTGAAGTCAAGCTTTGCAGGTTATACCATGGAAAATAAAGGCAAGAATGAAATGCCTATGCCACAGGGGGGAATATTTATGCCTCCTGAGGCTTCATCTTTCTTTTGGCCACAGGACAAAATAGATCAAAGAATATCTACGTTTGTATTATTCCTATTAGTTCATATGAAAGCATCTTCACTGTTACCTATAGGTTGCTAACAATGCCGAGTTCATGATCATTAGGTTTATAAACCATCTCATCTAAGTGATTTATTGTGAGCATGGGGGAACATCAGAAACATCTTAATGTTGAAAGTGACTTTACATTTGGTGTACCTGCATTTCAGATGAGACGAAATATAATGAATCTTGTTTTAAATATTCTACGATATTACCCTAAAATTGATCTTGCAGACCACACCATCTCTATGCTGCTCTGGCTAGAGTAAAACAAAATAACAGAAGACAAAGCCACATAACTGTCCTGCGTATAGATCTTATATAAAGGGAAATACTAAGAATAATTACTCTGAAGTAATTTATTTTCCTCTCTGAAGTTTGGAAGGACCAGAGCACTGCAGAGCAGGAACTGTCAGGCTGATGAGATGAGGGGTTGACCTACTCCTGCCTAGTGAAAGATCTGAGTATCAGGGGGTTTATAAGAAGGTGTGAGGAAAATCTATTCCGGATGACTTTCAAGTACCTTTTCAGACTCATCTTGGGCAGGCTTGGATATGAAAGGTCAGCGTGCAAAAAGGACAGGATGCAGGAAAGCACGGTCATGTCTGCAAGTGAGGGCAAAACAGGGATCCCACCAGACCGCTGCGCCTTGCGGGACCCCCTCCAGGGACCTCAGACCCCTCGCCGCTGCATGTGACAAAGACATCTCGCTTGTTTGTCTCAGATCCATGTTTGTATTAAATGCCTTCGGCAACTGCAGCGGGTGGCATCAGACTAAGAAAGGCTACTGAGTCGTTTAAGTTCGTATCAAAATTTGACAGCATTTTGCAAATCAATTTTATCACATTTAATGGAGATTAATAGAAGAAACTATATTTGTGAAGGAGAAATAAAAATACCCACAACTAAAAGCGAAACCAACTAACTAAACCACAAAGAGATACACTGGATCTCAGCTTGAATACCAGAAAAAAAAATAAATTAATCCACTGAGGAGGAACAATCCCTTGTGTGCTAAAGAGTGTCGCAAGCAGTTTACAGTATGTTATATTCTTCTAATCTGCTTGGTGCTGTTGAGGCCTCCAAGGGAATGCTACCTGGTTTTCGATAAGGTATTTTGAGAGAATTTACACAAATTGGAGAGTGTGCCGAACCAACTGAAATAAAAGGAAAGAGGATGGGAAAATCTAAGGTTGAAATAATTGGATTTTTTATTTATTGTTGAAGCTAGACTAAGAACAATCTAGATGGTTACATAGAGAAAGTTATTCAGGCATTCTGAAGCTTTCATAGCTATTAAAAAGCTAAAATGCTCCCCAAGATGCACCCCATCCATTCTGGTTTTCATCCACAGGTCTGTAAGTCAATGAAGTGGGCTCGCAATAGGAAGTAACCTCATCACTTAGATGTGGCTCCTAATTATTGCACTCTGCAAATGTGTGCATAATAGGCTGCAGTGCAATTAAAGAAACCAGAGTGAAAATTAGAAAAAAATTGGTAGAGATTTTTATAAACAGATGCATTTGCTGGAAAAAACATTATTCACTGAATGCAGTTAAAAGTATAGTAAATTGACTTCGAGAAAAATCACAAGACTTTTCAATAAAAAGACAAAATAGCAACACTTTTAAGACAGCAGGTGGTAAAACGAGATACAGGAATGTTCCCCCATATAAAGAAATAAAACAAAACTGAGCTGTGTGTTTTTACTGCTCTCTTCCAGCAGAAATACATCCCTAAAGGACTCAGAAAATAGGCTCCTAAATTCACTCATATGGAGTACCAGAGATTGAAAGGGAAACTTTAAAATACATTACTCAGAAAAACTGGAAAAGGGATGGTGCTAAGTCTTAAAGAGAAGATTTTTTGGCTTGAGAGTGTCAAGGCAGTTTGGGGAAAAGCTGTGACACAAGGTGGGTCACCAACTGGTACAGGAGGGTTCATTAAAAATGGGTGTTTACATCTGAGCAATTTGCTCCTGAATAGAGTGGGACAGCACTCAGAGTCTATCAGTGGGGTGTAGACACTGAAAGTCACTTGGAAAGAAAGGACTACTGGTTTTTAAAATACTACCCACAGGAAAAAAAAAAAAAAGATCAAAAGTTTCTCGTGAAAACTGGAGGGAAAAGCCTGAAGAGTCTCCAGGGAGGGGATGGCTGCTGGATACCTCTGCAAAGCAGCATCCGTGATTTTTCTGTTCTAGTTCCTGCTCTCAGCTGAGGGGACTGGCAGGAGGAATGACCAACTGGCACTTCTGCCAGCGACAGATAAGGCAGCGCCAGCTCAGGAGGGGAGCTTCTTCATCTGCACTGCTGCCTCTCACTGGGTACAAATCCACCCACGTGGAAGAGAGCAACGCAGACTGCCCAAGTTGTGTTTCCACAGTCAGGGAGCCACCCATTCATCCCATTGAGCATCCCATTGAGCATCCCATTTGGCGCTTACATCGAGAGCGGGACCCAGCTCAGAGATAGTCAGAAATATTTTCTGCAAGGTCCTCACTCTCTTCCATGGGCACCTTTGTAGCTCCCTGCTCCTAAATCCTCTACTCTGCCAGTGGAAACTTCTTGGCTACAACTGCCAAAGCCTCACTAAAGCACAGTTCAGCTTTTCTGGACTAGATTGGGGGCCGGTTAGCTCAGTCAGCTGAGCATGGCGCTTACAACGCCAAGGTCGTGGGTTCGATTCCCATTCAGTCCCCATGTGTTGCCTGATGTAGATGAAAGGTGGCATCCCTGGCGACAGGCAAGCTGGATTAAAATGATTTCTAAGGTCCCTTCCAGCCTAGGCCATTCTATGATTCTATGATTAGTACCTCATTCCACAACCAACCCAGGAGCAGCAGCTGAATTACAACAGGAGGACGTGAAGAGTGTGGTTAAGATTCAGAATTTGAACAAATGCATCTGCCAGCATTAAAGACAGTTCAGGAATTTGTGAGACAGTTACAAAAAGGTCTTGTCCATCACAGAAGAGGGGGTAGGAAACGGAGGCCTGATGCCTCCTCCCCCTTCGCATGGTGATGCTCAATTTGCAGTTGCACCTACAGCTGGGCTCCAGTGCTGCTAAAGCATCTGAAGCGATGCTGGAAGGGTAATAAACCCACTCCACGTTATCAGTAATCCTTCCCGGAGGTTAACAGCGGGAGGCAAGGAGGTTGAGGCATTTCTAAAAGGAAACTGTGAAAGGCAGAAACAACAGCAGCGCTGCCCTTTTAACCCACACTCGCTTCCAGCAGCTGCATTCCCAGACGAGAATGAGAGAGGCGTGAGTGAAGGCTGGGGAGGAAGGAGAGGGGAGAACTGTGAGAAGACAAAACGCCTACCTGACAGGTGCTCCCCGGGACTGAGCGGGCTTCAGCATAACGGTGATGGTAGTGTCGGTCTCGTTCAGGGGGGAGTCCGTGTCGTATTCTGGCATTGACGGTGCTACAGCGGAACAAAGAGCAACACGTTGTACACCAGTTACTGCCTTTGGTAGTGATGGCAACGTAATACTAACATCTCTTGGAGACTGCTTCACGTTTCTCAAATGAAACATCAAAATACTTCCCAACGTTAGGACCAAAATCGACAAAACTGCTTAAATATTTGTACCACTCTCTTCCTATTAAAATTAAACAAGAATTGGACACCAGAATCTTCAAACCGGCTTTGAAAATCCTGTCTTGAATTTTTAAGACACAGTGATCCTTCAAGGTGGAATCATTCTTTCGATTTTAAAGGTAAGGAAAGAACACGACACAGACGATAAAAGATATTGCTTAGGATGGGTGAATCAGCAGCAGAGCTGAGACTAGTACTCGGGAATCTGGCTCCTGTTCAGTGTTCTGGTCACTGGATTAGAACTCTCATATCTCATAGTTTTTAATATATACACTTAAGCTATAGCTCCTTGATTTACTGAAGGGTGTGTTATGGAACACACAAGCATCAGAAGGGAGGAGCATAAATTAGCCAGGTTATTTTGGCACTCAAATCCATGGCATTTTACCTCACTGCTTCAGTGACAGTGAACCAGCAGGCACCTGCATGGCTCCCCATGGCACACTCAGGCAGCATCCAGCACCGTATCCTCATCACTTCACTGACGTATTCCCCAAAGCAATACCAAAAAAACCCTGAATATTTACATTTAGTCAAAATCTAGTTTTCTATGTCTACTTTGTTATCTTCTGTTAGGGTCATTTCATGTAAGTAGGATAGGTTTCTTCAGGAAACATTCTCCTTACTGTGTTACTTCTCCCATTCCCAATAGCAGACATCTGCTTGGGACGTATTTTTTACTGTGGCAGAACTGAAGAGATCAGAGCAGCATCAAATTTATTCCAGAGATGCAAGTTTTGTTGAAATGTCTTTAAAGCATAAAGCAAACAGAAGAATTCACACAAATGATTCATCTGTAACTCACAAGGGCAAGCTGCATCGTGGGGGTCCCATATTTAATCCTCTCACAGCGATTTCCACTGTAATCCTGTTTACAATCAGGATTTTAATCTAAATGCCTGAAAACTGTCAAGAACGGTGGTGCCTATTATCAGCTCAGCTGCTGACTTCCCTGTCAATAAGCTGGCAGTGAGTTCAGAATGAAGGCCAATTCCTTAAGGAGGATTTCTCCGAAAATCTCTGCATTGAGGCAAAGCAGTACGAGTCATTTAAAGGAGATGCATGTCACCAGAGCTTTTCTGCACCAGAAATCACTGCAGTTTGGGGAGATGCCACAGCAAGAACAGCTCAGCGCCCGCTCTGGCCAGAGGGGACGGTGCTAGAGCCCAACATAAGCGCTACAAAAGGGCTGCAGGGCCAGGGTGGGCATCAGGAACGGGCTGGGCTCTGCCTTGGCAGGCTCCATTCTCCTCCTTTGAAGTGTCTTCCTCTAGACCAGCGGCAGTGCTGCACCCGCGCCACTGAAGTGGTTTTGACACATTAGCTACCTCGGATGTTTCCTCCTGGCTATGCAGACCTGTTTAGTTATCTTATGTGTAAAACACTGCACCTGCCACAAAGAATTTACAGTCTTACTTTCAGACACCATATAGTTAGAAAGTAAGCGCAAGAAACATAGGTCTCAGCAGGACAAGCTAATTCAGTGATCAGAGCCTGCATTAGCCACAAGACACTGAAATAAGATGTAGCGGCTTTCTTGTGTATTCAGCACGGAGAAGTTGTGTAGGACCTCAATAAAAGTACGATTGGCAGTGATCTCTCTAGAAGAGCAAGCATTGCTCACCAACTTGCAAGGTCTCAGTTCTGTCCAAAGAGAAATCCTCGGCAATTCTGCCATTTAATTGTGGTTAAGAAATAAACAAACGTGTCCACCCACATAAACATATACATGCACACACTGCTACAACTGAGATGTCTTTTCATTTTAAAACAGATATAATCTTAAAAGGACATTCCAGTCAATGCAAAAATCCTTCTTCTCCCTGCTAACCTTGGGACTGCCTCATAGAGCAAGTTTAATGGTAATTTCCAAATTATATGTATAGGACTGACCACACAATGAGATAATCTAATGTCAGAGACTTCTCATGTGCCTGCATGGGCTCTATGCCTCCCTATTGTCAACGGGATGTTTGGAAGATAGAGAAGGGGGAAAGATAAATCAAGCTCGGCGTGCATACAGTTGGTAATCATGCAGGCTTCTAACACAATCTGACCATTCACTGAATAATAAAACACGAAGAATGGATCAGAGGGAAAAACCACTACCGTTACTGTGCTATTTTTTTTCTCCAGTCACACGTGAATAGAGCGCACATCGTGCCTTCCCTTCACAGCAGGGATGCAGAAACCCCAGTTTCAGAGTCCTTTGAGCTGTTCTGACAGTTAATGTCTTTCCTTCAAGTGGCTGAGACTCGGGCTTCCGCACCAAGGGCTGAAACTCTGCTGGGGGTTTGTGGAGGCAACGGATAACATTTTACTTCCTTAAAATTTACGCTGTTGCTTCCTGCTAACAGCTTATTTTTCTTAAGCAATTTTGAAATAGGGCAATGGAAAATACGTGCTGTTGTGCACTCTTTTCTATGCACCCAGCTGTAATTTCAAGTATTACAAGCACCTTGAACATCCCAAAATGCTTATTTTGGCTTTACTGAAAAAAAATAGTTAAAGTACTACAAACCCCAACAGTTTTCAATTCTGTTAGACAATCTATTGTAGTGCTAACAATTAAATATTAAAATTAAAATCTACCTATCTGCCCAGTATCACCTCTGCCATCCCATTCTCCATCTTTTTTTTTTCATAGCTAGCCTAAGTTCCTTCTTTTTCCTAGAGACACATGCACATTCTCTTTGCAATGCCTCCCGATTTGAGTGCCTACCTCAAGCCCTCCCTCTGCCCTTCCTCAGAAAGAAAACATAAAAACAGCTTCCCTCCTTTATTTTTAGACTCCTTGCACTATTAATTCAATTACTTCATTACATCCATTTTGGTGCACACTGAAAATAAAAGCCGCATTATTAAAGGATCTTCCCCAGCCACATAGATAATGCTAACAGTTATTATAGGGATAGCTCATTTGTAGAACTAATGAAGGTTAAAATGCTCCACTAAGATATTCATGGATGCTTAAGATATCTACAGATTAACCACTGCATTTGTAGCCGGAACACACATAGTTACTAGATTGTGGCTGTCTGAAAAATTTGCCCTACGAAGCTTGTAGAGGCACTAAGCTGAATACCTTTTGACTGTTCCAGCTCCAGGTCTAAAGAACAAAGCCCTAGAAAGTTCTTTTTTTCTTCTTCTCCAAAGCAGTACCTGAAATCTTAGTTGCAATCCGTGTTGTGATGGGTGGCCCAAAGCCCTTGACTGTGCTGGCTTTGATGGTGAATGAATACGTAGTCCCTGGGTACAATCCTACAAAGAGGTGATGTGTTTCATTCCTTAGCTTGAAGACTTTCCCTCTTTGGCTGGACAGGTCAGCACTGGGATCCAGAGACCCAACGGCCTTGTATGTAATCTGCAAACGAAGAACAAGGAGAGTAAGGTGATAAAGGGCCTTTGGCACCTGGCCTTCCTCTGCTCCCCTGTCTTGCCATCCCTTGAGACTAGACATTGAAAATACAAGGACAAATATTATTTCAGTGCCCCTCCTGAATGCTTCTGTAGTTGGATGCTGTCAAACAAACATGGCAATTTTTCCAGGGCTTAAGTCAGGAAAAGAACCTCATTTCTTTTCTCCGCTAAAACCTCAGCATGAGCTGATTTACAACAAAAGATGCAAAGAATTGGTTTTTTTCTTCAGAGTCTCAGAACTTGTGCAGCCAAACCAGAGCACACAGCATGGCCAGCAGAAGTTTCATGAGAATTTCCCACACAATCCCCCACAGCACATGACAACTTTTGGTGCAAACATAGATACATTTTCCATCAAGTGGGGTTTTTTTCCTTCTGGCAAGTGGTTTTCTCAAAAGGCCACTGAAAACAATGGGAGCGTGATACTGATAACGAAGGGCTTGGAAGTATTTTCCTGTGCTGAAGAGAATATGACGAAATGTGGAAGTCAAATGGTGTGTTTAAATGAAATTAATATCATCCAGTCTTTAGACAAATGCCCTTCTCTGAGCTTGTAAGCCACCTTCTGATGTAATTTCCCTCTCCCTGTTTTTTAGCAGGTTTACATGTGTGTCATGGGTTAGGGCTGGGCCAGTCAGTAAATTAATGACAGATGTTCTCCAGTAACCCCTCTCTCTTCCAAAGGGTAATGGAAAAAGGCAGAGACTTATGGATTAGAAAATAAGGCTAAACAGCTTCAGTAACACAATAATGTTACCAGTAAGAAAATAACAAAAAAGGAGCAAAATGCAAATATACACAAAAGCAATGCAGGACCCAACACTTACATGCCCCTATCCCGCAGTGGCAATGCCCACGGGTGCAGACAGGCACCAGGGAGGTCCCTGACAGGACTCAGCAGCAGATGGGAACTGAACTCAGGAGCTGGATTCAAGAATGCACAGATCAGGAAAAAGGGCTGAAGAATGGATGGAGCCCTCCTTAGACACCAGTCGTTGAAGAAGAGGGCTTGACCCTTGTGATCCATTGGTTTGATACTGAATACGACACATACAGCACAGAATACTTGGCTGGCCAGGTTTGGGTCACCTGTCCTGCCTGCACCTCCCCAGAGGTGTGGCTTTTTACCCGTGGCACCTCAATGTGGTACAAGAGCTAACAGTGACCTTGGTTTCTAAGGGAGTAAGTGTAAGCAAGAGCCTCTCCGCACAAAAATCCCTGGCAGTAACTATAAAAATCAGGCACTATCGCTTCTCATGGCAGACACTGCAAAAACATGCTGTTAACTTTAGTAAGTGCAGTCTCGTAGAAGAGACTGAGCTGGTAAGTAAAATCATGAAACCAGAACAGGTTCTGGTTTATCTCGAACCAGGACAACGCGGCATCACGCCTGGCTTTTGCCTGAGACACCGAGTCGGTGGGGTGCTGCTCGTGCCTCCACCCGCTGCGGGTGCCGATACACCTTTGGAGGCAGCTGGGGCGGACAGCAGAGCTCTGAAATGCTGCTCCAGCTCTGTTCTGCTCACCCATGGCAACCCTGTTGATATAGAGACACTTGCGAGTAAAACTCATGACTTATTTACCAGCCAATTGCTTGGTCTGCGTTCCTAATTCAATCCAAAGGCAGCTCAATTTCAACTGAGCTGTCAATATAATATAACGTGCTCCACTGCTCTCCTAACCTTTCCTGATATTATGGGATCCTCACTTATTTGTAATGAAACACTATGAATAAATCAATGTATGTTAATACATGAAGTCTTCAATTTTTTATGAAGGGCTCCACAAGAATCTAATTCCCAGCTTTGCCGAAAGAGCCTTTGAAAATTTTTAAGTCGCTTTATGACAGGAGGAGAATGTTGCATTTTGAGGGGAAATAAATATATCATGTTTAAAAAGGAGGGCTTTAATAATAGGATAAATAAGAGATTGATGCTAGTTACATCAGAGAAGGGTGTGCGTGTGTGAATCCTATTATTTGGACAGAGAAGAACAATTTAGACACCCAAGACAAGGCAGCCTAAAGGGAAAGGGCCCTGAATTACATCCAGCCCTACAGAGCAGCACGAAAATACAAAAGCAGAAGTCTTAAAGGAATTATAATTGAACACTTCACAGGTGATGTAATTGAAAACCAACGTGTTTTTTTTTCCTCCAGGAATTACAACCTGGGTTTAAATTTTTCTTACTTGCCAGGAACTTCAGAAAGAGATCTCAATGATCATTAACACAAAAAAAAAATAAAATGAGGGGAGGAGGAATATTTACACTCCCTTCTTTTCCTTGATTAAGGTGAGGGCTGCGTAATGCAGCAGGGCACAGGACAGCATTTTGACAGCTCTTTGCATCAAGGTACTTCAAGGTAAGGGAGGGTAAATAAAAACATCATCAGTGTTGAGTGAGGATCAAAGATTTGAAATTAAAAGACATGACCCAGTCAATGCCATGGCCAATCCCAGAAAGAAAAAATGTATGTATTCTGTTAGGCAGGAATGAACTGATGCAATCATTTTGCCATATCTGCAAATCAAGTGCTAGAGAAACAGCGAATCTATAAGATTTCAAAGAACAATGAGTGTATTAGAAATTTGGGAGAAAGAAGGGAAATTCCCTAGGGTCACTGAAAAACCACATTCACAGGATGCCAGGTAGTAGCCTATGCAAAACCAGTGGTATTTATTTTCAAGCACTTTATACAGAAGGCTTTAAATAGAAGAGGAAGACGCATTTGTCCTTGATTTGCATATGTAAATAAAAGCATTCAGCTACCTTCATCAGTTTCAAAATCACTACAAAATGAGTCTTTTTTAATAAAGAAAAATAACTATCGAGCCCAACCATTACGATCCTCTCAATTTACGGAAGTTGTTGGTATTTCCTCACTGGAATATATCTGAAAGGTGTTGCATTGCATCCGCTTGGGTGTATGTATGGATCTATGTCAGTCTTTCCTATAGAAAGAAGAGATGCTGGAATATATGAGCTACATGTTGGTTTTCGTGCATGAATGCATCATGTAGCAAATTATAACCAGGTGAAATGAAGACACTAAGAAGTTGCCACTTTCCTCCTTCATTGATTTAAACTAAGAGTTCTGAAGCAAGAGACATTTCAGGGAATCAGACACTGAAAAATTTTCAAAAAGAAACTACGGAAGTCTCCAACTCTGGATTAATTTATAAATGCACACAAACATATTTGGAGAAATGCTGCACTTTGGATAAGAAGGATACTGTCAAAACCAGCTGCTCTTCTAGTTGGCATGCTGGGTATTTGTGTTAATTTCTTGTTCCAAGTGTCAGATTGTTTCATTACAAAACAGAGATTCTAATCTAGGAAATGAGATGACTCAATCACTAGAAAGAAGCTGTTCTACATTAGTTTAAAATAAACTCTTTTAAAGGCAAGCCATATCATATAATACTTATGTATTCTGTAAAAAATTAACAATAATATTAATCAAAATTTTTAGAAATCTAGACAGAAAACAAACAGGAAAATCCTCAAAAATATATTTAAGAATTTCATGCTGATGGAAAATATTAAAAATATTTGTTTCAATTCTGATGCAGAATAAATACAAATACGAAGATGAGGAAATTTCTCACAAGACTAAAACTCTAACCATCTCCCTAGTTATCTCCTGCACAGCAAGTTGAAAATTGCCTTTCCTCTGCAAACTGGGACGACTTTCCTGAGTTTGCATACGTAACACAGAGTTTACACATATTGGCTCCAGGGCAACTTGATGGACCCAAGGAAAAGTTTTAGTGGCCAACAAAGCTGTTGTTTTGAACCACAGCACCCTAAAATACATCAAACCCAAGAAACAGACATAAATAAATCCTAAATCTTCCTTGGAATCTCCTTCGCTGAGCTAATGAAATGATTCTCAAACTGAAGCAACAAGAGCTGTAAAGATTGAGTTGCAGAGGAAAGA